CTAGCAAAGTTAATGAATTTAAGCTCCCAGGCTTGTCTTTTAAAAGTGCTGTGCAGGTTTCCTTTGAGGATGAGAACCGAGAGGTCAGATATAAAGAGTTCACGTTGTGGAAAGTGTTCACCCACAGGTGATAGGGTGGTTTTGCCTTTTATTGTTTTCCTGAGCATAGCAATTGTCTGGTTTCACCGACAGATTTGAGGTGGGGGCATTTAGTACCCTAAGTATGCTGAGGCACAACCACATATTCTGATAGGCATGTGTAGGTCCCATGGATTTTAAAAGGTGTCTTGTGGGATGTCTTATATTATTGTAGCACTGGAGATATGCCTGCAGGTTTTGTATCTGTTGCGCTGGTAGGATCTGGTGCTGTTTTGAGTTGGTTTGTCCTGATCTGTGAGGAGCTTGCTTCTGATGATGAGCTTGGGGAGACTGTGAAGTTGTTTGAAGGCTGGAAAAGGGGGGTCTCCATTGAGCATGGGTGGTAGCTCCTTGATGATTCCCTGTATGGGTTCCAGCAAGGAGCGCCAGGTAACAGCTAGGGATGTACTGTTGGGGAGGGGGAGGATTGTATTTCTGTATTGCAGTCGGTTCTCCTGGGGTATCAAGGAGAAGCTTGAGCTGCATGTGGAAGATGGAAAAACAATGGAGCATTTCAAGAGAGGAGAGGAGACATGAGCAAAGAGGTGGGAAGAGAAGATGAACTTGGTAGTGGCACTTTGAATAGGCTAGCAAGGGGAGGCCAGAGAAGTGGAGATTAACAAGCAATATGTTGGTGTTGGATTATTGACATAGAACAAAGGGCATCGTTGGAGAAAATGGAACGGGAGAAGCAGGATTTGGCAAGAGTTTACATGTGAGAGGAGAAGGAAGGAGGAGTTAACAGGGCAGCTCTTTTTCTCTGCATCAGATGTGGGGAACAGAAGCTTCTTAGGTTGGAAGTCTGTAAATCTTAAACCATTGTACAAGGAGGGTGAGTATCATTATATTTATTATTCAAATGGAGAAATGGAGACACAAAGAGATTAACTGGCCTGTATACGGTTAACTAACAGGTCAGTAGCTGAGCTGGGAATAAAACATCTCTTCTCTCTCCATCCTGTGCCCCAGCCACATTACTCTTCCTAGAGACATTCACTTGGTTGACATTTAGGAAAACACCAGAGTTGTGCTTTGAGTAGTGCCCGTGTTGGTGAATCTGCTTCAGGTGGGCATGTGTCCCTGCACTTTTGAGTGAAGATTTTTTTGAAGCAATGTCTGTTCTGCCTGCACATGCATCCTATCTCCTCCTGCCCCAGATATAGGGCTGCATGGGAGAATCGCCCTCAGTTCCTTCTCAAGCATCTTCAGATAGAGATGGAGTCTAGCTTTTGTCTGTCTGTTTTGTACCTCTTTAATACCTTTCTGGTTTTGTGCTGTAGATTGGCCAGTCTCAGAAGACTTGTTAATGCCCTTTTAATAAGGACAAACAGTACATTTTTTTTGTCCAGTGTAGTGACCCATAACTGTGTGTGTGCTAGGCACATACAGAAGTGGAGCAATATTTTTATATTTATGTTCTCTCTCTCCCTCTCTCTCCTTCTTTTCTCTTTCTACAGGTCAGCGTTGAAGTGTTGGTTGAATATCCTTTTTTTGTGTTTGGACAAGGCTGGTCGTCCTGCTGCCCTGAGAGAACCAGCCAGCTCTTTGATTTGCCATGTTCCAAACTCTCAGTTGGGGATGTCTGCATATCGCTTACTATCAAGAATCTGAAGAATGGCTCTATTAAAAAGGGCCAGCCCATGGATTCAGCTAGTATCTTGCTGAAGCACTCAAAGAATGACAGTCTAGCTGGAAGTAGACACAGGTATGTGGAGCAGGAAAATGGTATTAATCAGGGAAGTGCACAGATGTTATCTGAGAATGGTGAACTGAAGTTTCTGGACAAAATAGGATTGCCTGCAGCACCTTTGCTCACCAAATCAGAACCCAGCAAGCCCACGGTGACGAGGAAGAGGAGGTGGTCAGCCCCTGAAACACGGAAACTAGAGAAATCAGAAGAGGAACCACCTTTGACTCTTCCCAAGCCTTCTTTTATTCCTCAGGAGGTTAAAATTTGCATTGAAGGTCGATCTAATGTAGGCAAGTAAAGGCTGTTTGGGGAAAGGAAATTAGGCTATCCCTTGTCATTTTTATCCAGATTACTGTACTGTAGACTAAATAACCCAGTATTTACATGTTATCATCTTATTTTAGGTTTATGTTATAACCTTGTTGTTATAGTTGCAGCTGGTATTATGCAGGAGACAGGTGCATATGTTTTTCCACAAGTGTTTTGTCAGTGACTAGGTTTATTGAGAGCTACAGAAGGGGCAGTAAATGCTTCATGCACCCTTAGTGGAAATGAATGTGTTGTCATGGCTCCTGTTTTCTGTCACCTAGTGTAGAACAGACTCCAGCTGTTCTTTTTTGTGTGAGGTGATGAGAAGGGAACCATAGCGGAGGTAAAACAGCACTGCATGCATTATGTTGTGTTTCAGTCCCAAGGAGGAATTGCGGCTCCCTGGCTGGGTCATTAGGGGGTTCTCTCATGCCAAGAGAACTCTTAAGAACCCAAGACACAGACATTCTCAAAAAGGATCAGATAGTCTTTTAACACATTTTGCAATCAAACCAACTCTTAGTCAAGGCTCTACAGTATATATATTTTCCCCCATGGGGTCCAACTGCACTGAATTTTATTCATAAAGTGACTGCCACACACACATTTCTTTCAGCTTGTTGTGCAGTTCCGTTGCCAGAGTGTAATATTCATTAAGGTTCTACGCTTGCATTGTTACACTGCTAGTTTTTCTTAATGACAAAGCAGGACTGAAGGAAGCCTAAAGTTCTTTGGATCCCTAGCTAAGGGGCGACTCCTGGTTCTGAGCAGTGTTAGACAAACTGATCAGGTTATGCCATTGACATTTGCTTCCACAAGGTAGACGCGTACTGCCCCTTTGAGAGCACAGACATAAAATTGTTTGCATTTAGGTTGCAAATCTTTGTCTTTAACGCTAGTACTGTTTTTAGTTCATGACGATGGACAACTGGTGCCACTTTTTTCAAAATTCAGTGTGACACAAGGAACTGGACGTTGAAGATGAACGTAGAATGTCTTTAAGCACTTAAAATCCTGTTCACGCTTTCTTGTCGAGCATCCTGGTCTAACACTCAATAAGTACTGTATCTCACTTTAATCTGTTTGAGAAAAAAAAAGAATCTATTCAACACTGTTAACTACATATGACTATGTAGAGTTTTCTCACAAGCAAGATGTTGAAAGTTTTAATGTGGTTTCAAAGGGATGAATGTGAATTATTGAACTAGTATGTGACAGTCATTGTCCACAAAGGACTACTTAATAGGAGGCACTTTTAAAACTTTAATGCTTGAGAAAGAGTTAAAGGCATATGTGAGAGCTGACAGATAATAAAATAAGAGAGAGAGGAAAAAGGAAAGAGGAAAAAAATCATTGTCCAGTGTTTTTGAAAAAGATGGACTTTAAAGAATCTTGCAATTTGCACATCTTGAGTTTATCATTTGTGTGGTATTCCTGCAGTTTTTACCTAATAATGTTGTGGGGAAGGGAGGGGGACTGAGAGAGCATAAACAAATGTAGCAATTATTTACTAACCTGCCTAAGCTCTAGGCCATTTTATAAGGTTATGTTCCTTTTAAAGTTCAGTTTTGGTCTTTCTGCCATATGTGTCGCACAGAACCAGGTCCTAACAGGACATCTTGGAGAATTTTTCTTTCAGATACAGTGAGAGACTTTTCCAGAAAAGACATCTCTAGACATAAGCAGGTTTTTATATATATAAAAAAATAGCTGTTACCATTTTATTATTATTGCTGTTTTAATGACATTTTCCAGCTGAAATACAATCTAGATTTCAGCATTTGGTACAAAACAGCAAGCAGGAACGGGGGTTTCAGACAGCGAAGTCTTTTTTTGTTCCTGGTCATCTGAAATAAAGGTAGGGCCGGATCCTCAGAGGTGCTGTGCACCTTTGTTTCCTGTCAATGGGAGGTGCAAGTTATAAGCACTTCGGCTACGTCTAGACTGGCCCCTAATTCCGGAAAAGTCATGCAAAGCAGGTAAGTCAGAATAGAGAAATCCGCGGGGGATTTAAATATCCCCCGCGGGATTTAAATAAACATGTCCGCCACTTTTTTTCCGGCTTGGGGAAAAGCCGGAAAAAAGCGTCTAGACTGGCGTGATCCTCCGGAATAAAGCCCTTTTCCAGAGGATCTCTTATTCAAGTAGGAATAAGAGATCCTCCGGAAAAGGGCTTTATTCCAGAGGATCGCGCCAGTCTAGACGCTTTTTTCTGGCTTTTCCCCAAGCCAGAAAAAAAGCGGCGGACATGTTTATTTAAATCCCGCGGGGGATATTTAAATCCCCCGCGGATTTCCCTATTCTGACTTACCTGCTTTGCATGACTTTTCCGGAATTAGGGGCCAGTCTAGACGTAGCCAACAGGTCTGAGCAGAAGCCCATTGCACTCAGTCCCACTGGTTTCAGTGGGCTTTGGATCAGGCCTTCCATGATCAACCCCTTATATTACTATTACTTTTGTGATTGAGTTTGCATCCTTCAAGTACTTTTGAAGAAGGTGTACTAATAGGGAGAAGTAGTCTTGGGAAGTTCTTAATTAGAGATACGGTATAAAAAATGAACAAATTCCTTAAAAGTCTAATTTTCCCTCTCTCCTAAAATATAGTGTTTCCAGCTCCTTTATTTACAAAAAAAATCTGAAAACCCCCCCAGTTTTTTGGTTCTTTTATTCGTTACTTGAAATTTAGCTCACACCAGAACTAATTTATACCATTTTCTGGGGTGCACCAAAAACATTTAAATAACTTTAAAATAGCTTGAAACTTTTTCTTGAATTTCCTTCAGTTTTATTAACCTCTCAGCAGGCTACCAAATAGCTGAGCAGGTTCATTCTCACAGACACACTGCTTATCTAGTGCTGTACTTTTTTTTTTAACGATTCTGCTCAGAGAACTTGCTTAATCTTCCATATACTCCGCTCAGGGCACTTGCAATTTATTGTTGTTTTGTTTTGTTTTGTTTTTGTTATGTTTTAACCTTTGATGGTAAGAGGAATAGAAAGATGTGGGGCAGAATTAGATTTTAGTTCATGTTACTACCACTATATTCATAATACATATACTCAGAAAATCTGAAATAAAACCACACATGCATCTTTTTTTGGCTAATAAAGAAGCAGGGACTCTTAAACTGACTGGATCTATTCTACTAACACTAACAATAAACAAATAAAAAAAAGTTTGGAGCAATAGGAATGTATTAGTTCTGTGTTTGTATTTCAGATTTAGGAATTCTGAAATAATTGGTTCCATCCATGCAATTGTCCCTTTTTTTGTGCTTTTGCTTTTTTAGGATGTGCAATACTTTATGTGCCAACTTAGACCCACCCACGTGGTGGTAGCTAGATCTCACCCCCTCTTCCACTTTTACCTTGTTTGTTTTCCTTCACTGTTTTCTCTATCCCCCTCCTCCCTCCCCCCCCTCCAAAAAAAAGTGTTTTGGGCCTTATACCTCCCTTGATTGGAGACGCAGAATTTGTATGCCATTAGCAGGTAGGGCACAAATGGCTGGGTGGCACTGGATGGTCCTTATTCTTTCAAATGTACGTCCCTGGCCTCTACAATATAAAGAGGAAGATCCAGAAAAAGGCTTAGTGGATGGTGACCCACACCGAGATTTTTAAGGGAGAGAGAGGGTAAGAATTTTGTGAATGTGAGGGACCTGTAAATTGCAAACAGTTCAGTCATGAGTAAATAACATTGTCTCGTACATGAGCGAAAGCAGCCTTCTACAGCATCATCAGTGTCATTTTTCTCTTCAATCTATGCCTGTAACTGTTACTTTATATATATATGTAAAGTATGTGACATATGTATATTATATTTGCACATGTATATGAATGTTACCATCTGTTTGATGTGCAATGTGGGGGAAATTCACCCCTGTGCAAAAAGCCAGCACAAAGCCTATACACCACTAATATCCCAAACTGGTGCAGTAACTTGGTACTGCCTCTCTGTAGAGGAGTGGATTTCACCCCTAAATGGACAGAAAGTGGTGTCTACTTTCAGTTGGCTGAATCTGGTTTGCCTGCTGACATCTGGAGTTTGGCTGCAGTTGCAGTGAACTGACAGGCCCACAGCCCTTATTCACATGAGTAAATCCTTAATCCAGTGTGGCGAGTTGCCCCATTGATCACTCAAAGGAGTAAAGGTATTGTCTGCACTGCCTCAGCATAGCTACAGATTAGCAAGCTGTGCCACACCATAGTGTACACACATCCTACAGGGATGGAAAGGGGGTTTCTGTTAGTGTAGTGAATCCACTTTCTGGCATGTGGTGGCCAAATCAGTGGAAGAATTCTAGCCACATCTACACTGGGGGTTAGATCGACCTAACTAGCATTCAGGAATTTTTCATGGCCCTGAGCAACATCACTAGCTCAATTAATTTTTAAATATAGACCAAAATTGGGCTTGAGGTGCACGATGAAAATAACAATCACAGGCATAGAAATATTTAGCTGAGTTTGGTGTAAAAGGATTAGTCATGTGCCTCTGTACAGTGTCCACTTTGCAATATTAACTGACAAGTCTTTTTTTTTAATGTACCAGACCTGTTTAGTTTACAATGAAATGCATACAATCACTAAGAAATTTAGTCAGGGCAAAAGAAGAAAATAAACAAGAACCTCTTTATAGGGATTTCTAAAAAACCAATATCTCTCTATCTAATGACTGTTCCTTATAGTGTTTAACTTAGGCATCGTTTCAGTTTGTCTGGGCCACATCATGGGGAATTTGGAGTTTGATGTCACTTACCTCATGTCCTTTAGATGAAACCCTAATTGGATTTTTGTTTGAACTATTTAATGATTTTGTACATGGTTGCTTTGGGGTTTTTTTGTTTGTTTTTTTTAATATATGTTTGGGTGGGGTGGGGAAATTCTGCTTTTTAACCCTGTCGTCACTTCGTTAAACCATTGTTCTGTTATTTGTTCAGCACCAGGAAGTGACATCACTGTTCTTGTTTCCCTAAAGCAAGGAACATTTAGAAACCTTTCACACCTCTTACTCAGGGATGGGGCTGGCGTACGTGTGGTACACTGATGTGACCAGAAGCAGCACTTTTACTGCTCTGGAGTAGGGATGTACAATTTCAAGGACAAGTTTGGATTTCCTGCATCTCATGGATTAACTTTGTAGATATCACATAGATTGCAATACAAAGCAGCAGATTCAAAGTGAACCATAGCTGTTGGTTACCATGAAACTTATTCATTGTACAGGGACTGATTTTACCTAAATATATTGTCGATATTAAAAAAGGAAATGATGAAATCCTGTTAAACAGGTGACTATTAAAAATGGAAAAAATGCTTCAGGGAGAAGAAATCTTAACTATGTTTAAAACACTAATAGTGTTATTTCACTAGCATTCACTAGGGTTCTTAATGCCATTGGCACTAGGCCACAGTTTTGCAAACCCTTATGCACAGGCTTAACTTTAAGCATCTGATTAGGCCTATTGAAGGCAGAGGGACTATACATTAGCTTAATATTAATTACATGTTCTGTACAAGTGTTTACCGAAAGTAGTGGCTGGATCATCTGGAGCCAGATTCTGATCTTAGTTACAACAGCTGTGCATTTGGAGTGATCAGTGGCGTTAATGCAGATTTGCTTGGGTGTAACTGAGATAAGAATCTGTCCTGCTGTTGGCTCTTCTATTATGAAATATACTCAGAAATGACAAAGTTCAACCTGCACTCTTTTAAATAATCTTCTTCTTTTCGCATGACTTCAGAGAGTAACACATAACAGCAGAGTCCAGTCTGTGGAACTACCCAGTGTTGATGTGAAAAGCAAAGGAAATTTAGCATTGTGGTCAGTGTATTTCTTTTCTTGGCGTTTTTTTCTAAATCCCCAAAACCCTGAAATAAAAAAAATAAGAGTCCACACATAGAGGGGGGGAGGGTGTATATACATGTGTGTGCATGCACACACACTTATTTATATACATATATATATATTAATATAAAAGCAAATGACTTATGTCTAGTTGATTTCCTAGCCTTTCCAAGGACAGTGTTGTATTTTCTGTTGTTAAGGAAATTCCAAACAAGTTGCACACCTCTACTCCAGAGTTAATTTCTTTTACATAGACGACCTCGCTTCAGATGTGTTACCTTACTGATAGGATCTTTTCTTGTAGCACTATACCTTGTGGAAATATTTTTTGATGTAAACCTAATTTGAGATGCTTACAAAAAAACTTTTTGAAGCACTCACATTGAGGAGTACAGGTAATGTTTTAAAAAATTGCACAAAAGAAAAATGAATGTTGGAATGATTCATTCAGTGTTTGAAAAAGAGATGGATCTGTTGAAACAGTGTGTTTCATACCTTGTTTGTAAAAAAAAAATTTTTTAAAGTACAAAAGCAGAGAAAGGTTGAAAGTTACATGTTTTTTGTATATAGAAACTGTCACGTTTAGATGATCTGATTTGTATTGGCTCTGGACAGGAAGAATTATTATTTACAAGGCTCTTAAAGAACAATTATGTTCAAATTTCTGTTCATATCACATAAATCCCAATGCTGGGGAAGGGGGGGAACGCTTCACACTGTTTGTTCCTATGCCGAAAATATATCTTAAAGCATCTTTTGTAGTTTAGATTCTGAAACCATTGTAACTTCTTTACTCCCTCTGAGACGATATACTACATTTTCAGCACTTCCTGTTCGGATCAACCCAAAGACTATAACTTGAACAAGAAGTGTTTATAACAAGGGATCCTAGCTTACCAGTAAATAAAAGAGGAATATCAAACGAGACATGGCCTTTTGTGTACACACACCTTCCCACCTCATTTAAACAGGGGGTAAAGACGTGAATTTCAGCTTTTCCAGAGGTGCTCTGGTCTTGGACTGGTTCTTTCTCATTTGATTTAGAGATCCGTGTCATTCAGAAGCCAAAATAAAAGAATCCTGTAGCAATTTCCGAGGAAAGGGCCCTTTCCTTGGACAAAGGTCAGTTGGACAGCTGGAAGCCTACACACAGCGGGGATAAACAGTTAACTTTCAGAACCCTTCTCTCCCTCCCCTGACATCCTGTAACACAAGCTTCAGTTCTGATACCTAATGGTCACATGGGGGAAAATAATTACCAAGTTAGAATGACCCCTGGACACCCAAAAGAATGGCCCCAAATGTATTAGGATGAAGTACATTCAGCCAATAAATAGTTATGCAGTAACAGTCTAAGATTTCTATAGTTTTACTCATCATTATCTTATAGGACTCAAGTCTTCCACTGAGAATTAATTGGAGGCTTCATCCAAGGTTGGCTTTTTTTGTTGTTCATTTGTTTGTTTCTATTCTTAGTGGTCAAAGCTCCTGTGCCCTTTCCCTTGACCCTGCTGCAGGCATGCATTGGAAGTGTTGTTTGCATTAATCCTCACTCATTCTGAACCTGTTAAAGCTGTCCAACTGGGTTTTATGAAAAAGCAGCAGCCAGCTAGATCTGGCCCCTCATGTTTGCTTTAAAAATAAAGAGTCTGAAGATTCTGGCTCTAGTGAGAGAGCCACATACATACTCTTGCTCTTTCCAGTTGTAGTCGGTAGTTGTTGGATTGCTGTAACTGGATGCAAGTGGTTAAATTATTGTCTTCTGTCTGGCCCTTTGGCTACTTAGCAAAGTTACTAATCTTATTAAGGCAGCAGGTATAACTTTTTGCAGACCGCTAGCATTCACTAATGTATGTATTTCTGTCTTTGGCTTTCTTAAATATTAACTTTGTGAACACTGTTCTCTTGGCAGTGCTTAAAAAGGGGAATTTCTTACCTTTTCCACTCAAATTAGCTCTTGAAAATAATTTCGTAGTAGCAGTGTCACAGTTTTCCACAGCCAGCAGGCTTGGATTGGCCAACTAGCCATGGTCTTTGAGGAAAGTCCTCATGCGGGTAAGTTTAGTGATTCTACAGTACATCTCTAAGGAGTGCATTGATTGGTATTTATGAAGAGGGTTGTTGCAAATCACACTTCCAGTGTTGTGCCTAATGTCGGCCCAGAAAAAGGGAAAATGCAGCTTTGTATCGAGGAGAAATCTAGCTGACATGGCCAGTACAAAGGAGAAATAGGGAGGGAATAATGTTTTGCACCTTAATGAAAAGAGGAGAAAATTTTAAGTGCATACAGACATAGTTAAGAGCTTTTATTGTGACAGGAGAACTTTTTTCCATATGCGTGCATACTCTCTGTAATTCCAGTGTAAAATATTGTACTTGCACTAGCTTTTTTAAAACAAATATTAAAAAAATGGAAGAATTCATATTCTATTTTCTAATGGTGGTGTGTCTATTTGTAGGATACACTCGCGTCTGTTTATTGAATTTTATGGTCCCTTTCTTTGATGGTGCTTGCAGGTTTTCTAGGTAGAAATTATTTCATTATTATAATAAAACAATGTTTGATTCAAAATTTGAACAAAATTGTTTTAAAGAAACTGTCTGTATACCAGTACAAGTTTATTGTTTCAGTATACTCGTACTAATAAAATAACAGTGCCAATTGCAAATGTGTGTCTGTCTTTATGTGTTAAGAAAGAATGAGACAGGTTTCCTGTGAAAGAATAATTTGTCCATTTAATTTCCCCCTCTTCGGATTTAGCTTCAGCCACAAGTTTTTATGAAGGCTGTTTTTATCCATGATGCACTATACATAGATGTTTGCACATTGCCACATACAGCATATAATCCTAGCCAGTCCACCTGAGTGAAGCCATGTATTTCATAACACAACAGTCAAGCTGCACCACATGATCAGTTTAAATGAGCAAGTTTGTCATGGCAGATGCATTCTGTGCACAGTTGTGCTACAAATGAGGAAAGAAGGTAGTTATTCCTAATCCTGTCATCTGTGGTGCATGGAGAGGTACACAAATGTTTAAAACTCTTTTCAAAAGACTTAATTCATGGTTTTGAAAATGATCACAAACAGTATTTTTTGCATAGGAGCTTTGAGCTATTTATTACGTATGTTTGGAAATGTTATCCATCTCAATGGCGTAATAACTGATGCTCTGATGTCACAGCCAGAGGACAGGCCAAAATGGCCGAATGAATAAAAAAGAACAAAGTTTAAGGCAGACAAGGAAAAAAAACACCTCATTACTAGTCGGCAAGGCTGACTGCATTTAGGGTACGTCAGCAGAGATAGTCATGCTACAGGGTAGCAGTATCGTGAGTTTATTCAAAATTCTTAACCAACCCCGAATGAGAATAGGTTGCTTCTAGACTGGGAAAACAAGTGTTTTCCTGCAGGTGGGCTTTAGCGGTGCAGTCACACTGCCAATCAAGAAAAGCCAAATCTGTAGCGTCTCTGAAATCAGCAGCAAAATTCCCATTGACTCCAACAGCACAGGACTTGGCCTAACTGGCCATCAGATTTTGGCAAGAGACACCTGATTCAGCTCACAATTAGACTGGTGAAAATCAGGAGCGACTCCACTGAAGTCAGTGGATTTAGATAGGGAAACTAGTCTGAGAGAGTACTGGGCCCGGCTGGTGTTTCAGACCACAAGCGCTCATGGATTAAAAAAAGAATACCAATGCTGGTTTCATACTGCGTCTTGGAAAACACGCAAAAGTTCTCATCTTTCCCCATCCTCAACAAACTTCCCCAAGCCCTGCTGGAGCTACCACTGTACACAACACCTCACAGCAGCAAAGGTAAAAGCTGATGCTTATCCACCCATCGGGAGGGGAGAGGCACAGAACCATGCTAGTCATATGGTGCTTTCCAGAACCACGCTAAGAATGCTGAGGGAGTGGGATGAGCACGCTGTGTACCTCTTCTTAGCACAGATTATCCTCACCCACAAGCCCAGCACATTCACTGACCACAGAGCCCTGTCAGCCCACAATACCTTGGGACTGTGGTTTAATCAGATTTGTTTCTTACTTCCTTTATTGCTTTTAAAAAATATGTCATGTTAGCTACACCTTGATAGAGCCACTGGGCCAAATTCTAACTTTCCTCTTGTGCACTGAAGTCAGTGGTGTTGCAAGGGTGCAGAAAGCAAGTTAGACTTTGACCCTGTGTCATGGGAGAGGGAAGGTCTTTTGGAGGCTGGCCCAGTAGCAGTCCATGAAGTGCAGCACAGGGCTAAGCTGCTGGGAAAGACACTAGAAAATAGAGAATCTTATAAAAATGATCAGGTGAGGTAGCTCAAGTCAATAGCTTTGGGGCCTAATCCTGCCTGGTGTGGCATCCCCTCAACGTCCAGTGAATTCAATAAGAGTTTTGCCTCTTAACTGGCATGGAGGAGGAGCTGGATCCATAGGCTTTGAGGGCACTTGTCACCTCACCAGACTTGGACCTGAGTTAGCCTCAGGCCAATCTCTTTGTTCCCCTTTCAAATGTGTGGGCTATAGACCTCCGTATCTGTACAAGGGGCATTGCAAAAGGAGCCATCTGACTGAAGAGGTCCTCTGAAGAAACACCCACTTGAACCACATAGGGTGGGCCTCAGCCAGTTAAACTGCTCTACACAGCTGGCTGCCTTCTTTGCCTTGTTTCCCTTTCCTTCAAAACAGCTGCTGGTTACCAAGCTATTAAACATAATGCAATATCACTGTGATGGCTTCTTTTGTCCCAGCACCACATATAACCAGGTTCTTAAAGCTATGGGTATGTCTGCTCTGCAGCTGGGTGGCATGAGTTCTACTGCGGGCAGAAAGATTTGTGCTAGCTTAGCGGGAGCCAGTGTTCCCACTAAGCTGCACAAGGCTCAGGGCTCCGTGCACGGAGCTGACTGGGCAGGGTTAATTAATCACCTGTGAAGCTGTGTTGCCCTGCAGCTTAGCGGGAACACTGGGGCTATGTCTATACTGGCACTTGTGCAAGAACTCTTGCACAAGAACACGTCCACACTGCCATGTGCTTTTGCACAAGAGCATCCATGGCAGTGTGGACGCTCTCTTGCGCAAGAAACCCCTGCTGCAGAACCACACTGACCTCTTGCACAAGAATTCTTGTTACACTTACACTATTCTTTTTTTACACTTGTTAGAAAAGAGCATAGCTCTTGCGCAACAAGCCCTCTCTTACCACGCTTTACTGTAAAACTTCCTGCGCAAGAGCAGGCGGGCAGTGTGGACGTGTTCATGCACAAGAACCTGCCAGTGTAGACATAGCCTGGCTGAGCTAGTACACTACACATAGCCGAGTGGATGTGGCAGCATGGACTAGCCCCCAGACTCCAAGCCCACCCAAATCCCTGGTTCTAAGCTTGGGTGGCTATAGCCACACAGGTATCTTTAGCTCACAGTTTCAAGCTGAGCTAGTATAAGTGTTTAACCATGCTGGACATCGCACCTTCCAGCTGCAGGGGGTATGTACCCTATAGCACCTCATTGTTTACTGGTGTGATGACCCTTATGTAGTCTGTCACACCTGTGCAAAGTGGATATACAATGTCACCAAGTCCACATGGCTGAATTTTACATACTGTTTGCACAGGAGTAACTGACTCCATAACGGCCATGGCAATGGAAAATCAAAGAGTTTTCACTGTGGAAAAGGAATTCCAAAGTGTCAAAGAACTGTTTTTTAAATGTGCATAGATTTTTAAAAATGTAATACATTATTTCATTTCATTTGTAAACATATCCTAAACAACCTATAAAACCAATAGCACCCTTCAACCTGGAAGCATCTACGGGACAGCCACACTTTTGCAGTATGAAGGCACAAGTATGGAAATGCACCAGTGGTATGAGTATAAATTTAGTATAACCTCATTCCTTGAAGTAGTTTTGATATACCTGTATACAAATACACTATTCTTAGGGGTATGTGGCAGGTGCAGGAGAAGGAAGCCATTCTACACTTAGCTATACCCATGTACAGTCTAAGTAACCTCATAGATTTTAGCGGAGTTACTCTGGGTTTGCATCAGCTTAACTGACAGCAGACTTTGGACAAGAATATTTTTAAAACTTATTTTCAGTAAACCATTTGGCTGCCTTTTTAGAGTTCATGACATAAATTCCAGCTTCAGAAGAAAAGTTAATTAGCAGGGCCTAGGAGCCTGGTTCTCTTTTACACTTAGGTGTCCTCACACCACTCTGGCAATGTAAATGTAACCTATGCCCTCTTTAAAGCCGGGATAATACCAGAATACCAGACTAGAGTCTTATTGTAATGGGGAATCAGGTCCACAATGTTCAATGGAGAACATTTAACATTTTATTGTAAACCCTCTGTCTTCTGCCATTCAGATGAAGGATCACCTATGCTTTTCCCATTATGCATAATCCTAACCATCGGTGACTGATTTGAGGACTAAATTTCTTACTTAACATGTTCCATTGGATTGATCCTCCTTTAGCTTTGCTAAACAACAAAGAATACTAGAATAATTCCATTTGCTTTCCTGCCCATCCCTCTTCTCAGAGGTCACAGTTTTGCATGCCAAAGTCTATATCTTTCCAATGAAGGGGTGAAAAGACTCTGAAGATCTGTACAGATAGCTCAGTAACACACATTAAAGTAAGGGGGAAGTCATTAATTCATTGGTATACACACTAATAACATTTATCGTAATTAATTACTATGGTATTCCTGGCACTTTAACATGCACTTCCAAAGAAATATCACTGTGATTTATCTATCTATTCATTAGTCTGTCATTAGTTTATTAAAGTGTTGCCCAGAGTCTAAAATATTCATTATTGCCTTCATAGCAACTTCTTTAACTCAAGATCAGACAACTGGCTTCTTGCAGCAAGTCTTCAGCTGGTCTCTATTACAGGCTGCATTTTGCTCTCAGCTATACCTGTGACTTTAAAAAGTTGCGCCAGAGTAACAAAGGGATGGATTTGACCCCTTTGGCCTGACTGACCACACCTAGCTCCATGTGTAATCATTTCTACACCTAGGCAAAGTGAGCGTGTATTTGTAATAGGGATGTAAAAGTGTAACTGTTTAAACAGTTGACCAATAAGCATCAGCTTATCAATTTGTTACGTTTAACATGCTGGCTTCATGGGAGCAGGGCTGGCAGGAGCTGCTGGCCCCGCTCCCAGGAAGCTGGCTTCACTTCAGGCCCCCAGCTGCCAGCCCCACTCCTGGGGAGCAGGCTGCACTGCAGGTTCTGCAGCATAAAGCTTATATGTAAGCTTTATACCATAGAACCTGCCACAGCATGTGTAACTACTAGGATTTTTAGCAGTTACATGGTTACATTTTTAAAATCTCTCATTTGTAGTCGCTCTGTGTCGGCTGAAATAATTATGCAAAGTGCAAATCTATGCACAATCAGGCTGTCCCACGTTGAGTGTTGCTGGGTGTCTACAGCTTCATATTCAGAGATTATGTTAAAAACAGGACCCCTGAAAATCTGAGGATTGCACCCACCAACAGTCATTACACTGTTAAATGTTCTGGGTAGGAGGAGGAAGCACTCGCTGCATTATAAAGCCAACATCTATAGAAAGGTAAGTCCATTAATACATGGATTTAAATAAAAAAGGCCTTAAAAGGCATATGAAATGCCCTTGATATAGCTCCAGCATTTTTAACATCACAGTAAAAGCGCAGCAACAACCTTGGGTCATTCTGCCATTGCTCCTGTTTAGTCTGTGGGCCAGCATCCTGACAGTATAGCTCTAAACTTCTGCCATTTGAAAGGTCAAAAAGTATGGCTTTGATCTTTGGTTATACAGATCAACTTACTAAACCTTTTTCCCTCTCAGCCTCCAGTTCCTAGAGCTGACAGTGCTGGAGCAATGCTAGCCAGAGATTGTGGGAAGGTTTTAAAACTTGGTAACAGTGACAGATGTCTGAGGAGGCTAATTCACTGAAAATGAAGGTTTCTTGGTCAGAGGAAAAAATTAAAGGTGAACAAATAGATTTAAAACAAATGTGACTTTAAAAGGTGAGGCTATTGTATCTTGAACCAAAAGAATTCTACATGGCACCAAGTTTGATGGCATTTCCTTCTGCTTAACCCTGTCGCCAGCAACAACTGACCCACCTGCTTCCACAGCCTGAGGGGTTTGGCCCCATGAAGCTCAAAAACAAAACACAGAGGAAGTGCGGAGAGGCAGCAGACACGTTTTGCAGGTCCAAGTCTTTGGTTAAGAAAACACCTGGCTGTGCTGCTGGGTGACCCGGATAAACGTTGCTCTCCTGCTCAGCTCTTTGAGCTTGGCGGCCCCCACATAGGTGCAGGTGGATCGCAGCCCCCCGAGGATATCGAGGATGGTGGTTTCCACATCCCCTCTGTAAGGCACTTCCACAGTTCTGCCCTCCGAAGCCCTGCACACAGGAAGTAGAGGAATTAGTGGGAGTAGCGTAGAATGAATGTGTCAACACTCAGCACATTATCATTTTAAAGAACTTTGTGCTCTTACTGATTGCTGCCCGTTCCTGCCTAGTGGTGAAAGGTTCTGCAGTGCCCTCCACCAAAGCCGTGAAAAGGAAGTGAATGCTTCTGGCAAATGCCCAAACAATGCCTGAGCGCACTATAGGCTTGATCCTCCTGTCACTATTGATGCAGAACTTCTGTTTACATAAATGGGGCTAGGTCTAGACTGCGCCTGTTTTGTGCAAAAAATATGCAAATGAGGCGAAGCATGGACTATGGCTGTGCCTCATTTGCATAATTAACTAGGCTCTGTTTTTGCACAAGAGGCTTTTGCGCAAAAAGGAGCCACTACACGGCTCCTTTTTGCACAAAACCCCCCTCTTGCGTAACAGCCGTTCTTCCTGAAAAAAATGCAGAAGAATGGCTCTTTTGCAAGAGGGGGTTTCTGTGCAAAAACAGAGCCTCATTAACTATGCAAATGAGGCATGGCGATATTCCACACTTCGTCTCATTTGCATATGTTTTTGCACAAGAGGCTATAGTGTAGACATAGCCTGGGAACTTTGCCGCAGGACTGTAAGATTGAGCCTTATCCTCAGAAGACAGGCCAAGGCAATGTTTAAAAAAACTGGGCCTAATCCTCCACTGGTATAAACTGGTGTAGCTTAAGTGATGTACCAGACCAGGTGCTTAATTTGCGCCTGGCACTTCTATGTTTGGCAGGTCAGCACCCCAGCACCCCTGGGCTTGCTACATCACCATGAAAGTAAAGAAATGGCTGAAGGCCCAGCACCTCTTTCATTACAAACTAAGGACTGAACATAGCTACCCCCATAGACATCAGCTGAGGGTGTGTCCCATGCCTACGTCGCACCAGAAGTATGCATGGTATATTACAGAACAGATAAAGGCATCTCTGCCAGGAGAGACTACAATGTACCCGATCAATTGTGCAATTCTAATTTACACCACAGGGGGCTTACTTGGATGAAAGCAGAATCCAAGCTATTCCAACAGGGCAGTTTGCAGAAATACTTTATGTGCTGTAAATTACTTCCATTCCTGGCAAACGTCCTGCTCTGTCTTTCAAAGCAGGTTTTCCCCCTTCAGGAGGAAAAAGATTTTGAAGTTTTTGGGCTTAGGTTAGGGAAGAATCTGGCCTTGTGATTTTCTCATCTATCCCTCCTGCCTCACTATCCCACCCTTTGCAGTCCCTGCTGCAGGGGCGGCTCCATGAGCCTAGGCGGTCGCTTAGGGCGCCGCCGGCCCGGGGGCCCGATGATGACGTCACGGCCATTGACGGCCGTGCAGGCGGGGGGCCGATCATGCCTTCCGCCTGGGGCGCCAGCTGCTACAGCCAGCCTTGGGCTGCTCCTGCCCTGCTGTAATGAGATGCCCCCACATGTCAGCTGATCTTTGTGTTCCTTGGAGTAAGATGACTGCAATGCGAGGAAACATCTTCTTTGGGAGCAAGGCAGAGGGGCTAAGAATGTGGATTATCCTGTGACCTTGGAAATTGGATCTTGTGCTGTAAAGTGGTTGGAAAGCTTCATTTGTGTCCAAAAGCATAAAGACACTTCGTAGATAACTTGTTCAAAGAATGATCAAGCAGCAGTTGTTTATATAGCATGCTCAGTTACAGCCAGAGAGTGCAACCCTGTGTGTTCTGGACAATATTTTACTATTTGTTAGGGCTTGGGATTGGGTGTCTCTCAAAAAAGGGAGGTCTAAGATCATTAATTCAAATACACTCAGGATGTAACACCTCCAAAGAGCTACCACTAGCTAGAAGAAAGTTAGCATATATGTGGTCAAAATGGATTTTCCAGGGACAGCTAAGGACATGTCTAAACGGCCACTTTACTTTTCTGCAACTTTCTGGCTTGGGGATGTTAGGGGGGAAAAAACCACACACACCCAGAGCACAGCAAGGTACAGTACAATAAAGCACCAGTGTAAACAGGCTCAAAATGCTGGGAGCTACACTTCTCATGTAGGTGGTCTCCATAGAGCACTGAGAGAGCTCTCTCCCAGTGCTGGTACCAAGACCACTCTTTCATTTTAACGCCCTGCCGCAGCATATTTTAAGTGTAGGCCTGAGGAAGAAAGGCTATTTAACCAAAACTCGTGTTTAAAATGACTCAGGACCCTCTTTCCGCCCAAGCAAATGCAGAACCTCTGGCCCAAGCAAGAAATACCCCCATCAGGAGGGAGATGTGGGTCTCCCTGCAGGAGAGGTGATAGCTAAGGAACCAGGAGCCTAGCGCTGTTACCCTTGGTGTACCATGAGGTGGACGTGCAGGTGTAGTTACTCTAAACTGTGACAGGGTTCTCAAGGTAGAATTTTCAATTTTGAGAGCATAAAGCCACACTCAGGCATCTCAATATGTGGCCTGATTTTCACAGATGCTGAGGACTCCCAGGAACTTGAATAGAAGCTGCGAGGCTCAGTGCTTCAGAAAATCAAACCACTTCTGTTGATGCCGCAAGACAGACTGACAGTTGGGATTTTTGAAAGTGTCCAAGGCACCCACTGCCGGCTGCATTTCAATAGATTTGGGGTAGCAGTTCCCTCTGGTGTCTTTGAAAACCCTAAGCAAGCCCCTGCCTTTAGGCACCCATCATTAAAAATGCTTGGGTTAGTCTGGATACTCCCTAGAGACAGCACACCAGGCCAGATCTGGCCATGGGCTAGGCTCTGTGATACCTCAGTGGAGTGAGTTTAGCTTTACACTTATGTAAATGAAGGCAAAATCTGACCCCATTTCTTTGATTTGCCTCAACAGCACCAAGCCCTTCTTCAGTGCTGTATAAACAAGAATCCTATTTTCTGAAACAGTATTTTGAATCTACAGTATCTCTGGCAGGCCCAAAAAAACAACCAAAGCAGTCAGCCTAGACAACTAACTATAGTTTTCTGGGGCCTTGGGCCACCTCTCTATACCCATGTGTTTGAGGCATGGTATCTGTACTCTATACTGCTAACAGCCTGTGCCAATGGAGCAGAGCATTAGGCTGCCTGGCTGGATTCCAAGGTTTGCTGCTAGCAGGAATTCCCAATACAGAACTGTGCAAGGACCTATCGCTTACAACGGAAGAGAAGCAGCCGCTCACTCACTGGCTATTGAAAAGTTTAGAGGCTGTGCCCTCTCCCTTGACCTCAGCTGTTTTGTGCAACACATTCCCTGCGGACTCTAAGCCTTCGTAAATCAGTGAGTGGAAAAGAAGGCGTGTGCATCTGACAGAATGGCAGCTTGTGCAGAATTTCTGACGGGGCTGAAAGCAGCTAAATTGTATGTTTAAGTGGCTAAATAAGGCCCCTTTCCTTCTGTACTGTTTAGCCCCAGGGGACACTGAATTTCACTGACGTCATCAATTTACTGCACTGTCAGAACCTTAGTGTTAAATCCTGCCCCCAGTTATTGCCCCCCCTCCACACACACACACTGTTGTAACCGGGGGGTGGAATTTGGCCCTTCAGTTGCCACCCCTCGGCATCAGTGTGGTGGCTCACATTCGCAAACGTAACCCATCACCTACACCAACATCATCGGCTTCTCACAGAGGTTACGTCTAGACAACAAGCCTCTTTCAAAAGAGCATCTACACTACAAGCAGATTTTTCGAAAAAGCGAGCCGCTTTTTTGAAAGAGTCTAGATGCTCTCTTTCGAAAAAGCAGAGTTTGCATTCAATAGCGCATTTTTTTGAAAAAGTACTTTAAAAAAAGGTGTTATTCCTCATAAAATAAGGTTTACCACGATCGAAAAAACTACCGCGTTCTTTCGATTTACTTTCGAAAGAACGCAGCTGCAGTCTAGACACAGGTGAAGTTTTTTCGGAAAAATTCTATAGTCTAGACACACCCTAACTGAACAGAACCGCCTCAGACTCACTGAGCTTGTTTGGGCTGTTTGTGCCGAACAATGCAATGGCTTAGATTTACCCTGACGTATGCACACTCCAGTCACCAACATAAAAAAAAGAGGGCAAAAGTACAGTTTGCAATTGCAGCTCAGAGGAAAGGCTGCCAGTCTCTGTGTGTAACTGGCAGCTGCCATTTTTAAATTATAAGCTAATTGCTGGCACCAGCCATTTGGATGGTTAGTTCCAGATGCTTTGATGCCAAGCGGCAGCATGGAAAAAAAATTAACAGCCTCTTGGGACTGGGGTGAGACGGGATTGAGTGAATTACAACTCATGCAGGCATGCAGAATGCTTCGTGCAGCAGTTCAGCTTGTTCTACACAGGGCCATTTCTTGTGCAGCGTTTTAGCTACACAGAAACATTTGAGCTGAAAAAAAAGACTCCCCACTGCTCCTTAGCTGTGTTAGGGCTTCCTAACACAGGGGTTACAAGGAGGGACTGCCTGCCTAGTTCCCCTCATCCAACACGCTGGAGTGGCTGAGCACAAGTAGGGGGGGACTGGATTACACTCAGCAACGTCCAATAACTTCACTCCTGCCCAGGAGCGGAGCCGCAATTCTTCTCCAGGGCTCCTTCTGAGAAAGCACAGCTCTGTGCTGCCCCATAGCCAAGGCACTTAGCAAAGGCTTAATCAGGGGAGCCTACAGCCACCTTACCCTTCCCATACTGCTAACTGGGGGGGATAGCTCGAGGGGGAGCCTGCCTTCAGCCAAATACTGACTGATGGCTACACCATTTGTTTATGTTTATTTGCACAGAATTAATCCTTTAGTTTAGGGACTAAACTGCAGTGCAGGCTTCGTCTTGGCTCTCCTCCGAGCTCCCCCCCGCCCCGCAATCCTTTGGCCTAATGATGTATTTATTCTCCTCCCCAAAAGGTTTCCTTCGGCAGTGGAGCAGATGAAGCTGTGTTCAGTATTTGGTCCAGATTATTGAACCAGGGAGTGGGGCACCTCCCAAGGAGATCTATCTCCTCAGTGGGTCTGATTTCAGCCAGATCAAAAGGCAGAAGTGCCATGACCATGTCTGTGCTCAGGTCTCCCCTCATCACTGCACTTTGCCTGCCGCTAACTTTTTGGATCGCCATTATTGCAGGCATTTTGTTGCAACCTAGTACATGATACTGACTAACTTGGGAAATTTAGGGCAACACCACTAGACTTAAATGCCTGAGGGCAAACAGTGTGTTTTATCTGCCTTCTCTAAGTACTATGTATAGCTAAATGGCATTTTCTAAATCTTAAAAAACAATTAGCAATAATAAGCAGCAGAACTGAAGACAGACCCAAGCTGCTAAATTTGGGTCTGGACCACCGTTTGGGAGGTGTTTGCATTCTGGGTTGTGGATTGGCTTCTACAATGCTGGGAAGTATGCTGTAGTGTGGTTATGTCTGTTTTGTGAACCCCATTTTATCCATTACAGGGTATAGCCTTCCTACTTGAGTGTGACCTTTGTGGATTATTGTGATTTCCTGTGTGGATTAGAGCATCCATTTTCTGGTCAGGACCCCTCTTGGAAAAACAATGTATGAGGAGATATGGCACCAAGAGCCATCAACACTGAATGACTATCCACTACTAGAATAATGGTTTTTCTGTTGGCTCGGCCATTGACTATGAATAACTCTCTCTACACTGAAGCCAAATGGGAGAAAGAGGGACTCGGAATCTAAAACTCCCCTAGTTAAATGCACCAGCGCTCTCAGAGCCAGATGAATTATGGGGCAATGTGAGTAAGCAACTTGGGGCTCAAAAGGACTGAGACACTGATTTTTTTTGGGGGGGGGAGGGGGGGAGGGACGGACAGATGGACTGCCAGGTCTCACTGCCCAAGGATAGTGTCAGACAGGGAGTCTGCACTTCAGTACATGTGCCTGAGACACCCCAGCATTAGGAACGCTGCCCAGTCACTAAGTGGACCCAGGGATCTTGAAAGCACAGGGGCCCAAAAGTTGTGTGTGTTTCCCACAGCCTGGTGCTTATCCAGAAGAGGGAATAGGCCCAGGTTGTAACAAGAGCCAGTTGCAACATTCAGATCCAGAAACAGATTTGGTGGTGGTGGTTCAAGCCTATAGCGAAATGTGCATATTACTTGTACCTGTATTCAGCCACTCCTCCTGCGTGCTTCTTCATGGCCATATCAGAGCTCATCCCGTAGAACAGTTTCACCTTCTTGCCATTTTTTTCTAGAACCTCACCAGCACATTGATCGTGGCCTGCAAACATTCCTCCAAGCATGACAAAATCAGCACCAGCTCCTGTGATCAGTAGAGAATGTGAGATGGAGGAGCATGTGGGGGAGAGAGACAAGGATAAAAGATTAAAGCCAAAAGAGCCAAGCAGCTGAAAATGATAGCTAGCCGTCAACGCAGGGAAACCTTAACTGTAACAGACACAAGCAAGTTAAAAGACATTCTTTACCAGTGGGACCTACACATGCCAGTGTCGCATCGCCTTGATATTTCAAACAAGGAGCTTCCGATCCGGCTGTGATACTGAACCCCACAGGAAGTGCTCTTTTTCGCGTCAATGTCACCCCCTTTCAAATTCAGTTTAATTCTTTGAACTCACAGACAAGATGTCAATCAGCTGCACAGCTTCCTGAATCCTCTCCAATCAGGTCACACATGTGAGTGGGAAGGAGAAGGAAGAGGAATGTTCACCTTTATTTAGGAGGATTTTTTGAGTGTAAGACGTAATGGCTCTGAAATTTTTCTGTCTCCTTCCCCCAGCTATGCAGTCACTCAGTGCAGTGAAGGTAAACTGCAAGGGACTTGGGGTGAGTTTGTTTGGTTCAGATAACTAACACAGTAAACTCTGTGGGGCATGGACCATTTTTTTTTGGTAAGGTACCTAGCACATTGGGATCCTAATTCATGACTGGGCCTCCTTGGCAGTAGGTTATACCAAAATTGATAACACACACCCAGATATCTGGATGCCTATCCAACTCCTACGTCTCTCTTGGGTTTGCAGATCATGTGGCCTGCTCCTTTGTCATCACCAGGAGTAGGATGAGATTTTGGGAATCTCACTGGGTTCTCTCAAGAGACGGGACAGTTTTTCCAAGAACAGCCTCTCCCCTCATGACATTTGGGGGCTTCCAGTCTTGGTTGGAACCAGAGCATGCAGGGTTCCAAGAAAATGAAGACCCATTTTTAAAAGAGATGGAAATGTTGTTGAACAGGTAAAAAGGTTCAGAACCTGTTGTAATCTGTCCCTGAAACAAAACACGCTGTGATCCAAGATGGCTGTTTTATCTATGGCTGTGGGGGAGTGGGAGGAGGAACAGAGTAATTGGAATAGGCAGCACTCTCTTTGCTGCCCAGCTCCTTTACACTGCCCACAAATAACAGGCATTTATGCAGAATCTGATGACACAGGGATAAGGCAGAACTAAAATGCCATATCTAAACACTTCCAAACTTTGGGAAAGCTCAAATCCAGCTATAACCTTTATGACTGGCAACCATCTCTGGTAAGCCAAATCAAAGTACTGCCCCACCCCCTAAAAACTTGGTAACATTTGGATCCTTATTTGATCCTCACACTTCCTCTTTATCAGTATTATGGGACAAACTACAACTATAGAGACCAATTTGAATTTGGGAATATTTTTATCTGGAACCAGATCCAAATTATGGTATCTGGGTTAATTCTAGCAGCCCTAGCAAAGGTGAGTCCAACTATAGGGCATCATCTCCACAGCTGAATTAAAATGACATGGGGGCCTAGACTCAGTCCATCGAAAGGGACCCCAAAACTAATCAAAGGTAGCCTGCCAAAGTGCTTTTGGTGCTCCTGGGTCTCTGCCATGCCAATGCTGCTGCCTACTCCCAAATCCTCCACCCCATCAATCCTTGGATCCAAACGTTCAGGGCCATGATGCTCTCCCAAATGCACAACAAAACCAAAATTCAAAACAGGAGCATCTCTAGGGCCTGACCAAATTCATGGCCAGAACAAACATGTCACAGACTGTGAAATCAGATCTTCCCTGTAAAACCTAGCTAGCTATTGGAAAGGAGGTGGCTGGGGTGCTCCTGCCACTAGTCCTGGCCAGGCGAGTCAGGGACACGACTTACTCTTCCCCTTCAATCTGGGAAGAGAGCAGACTCACTTCCATAAACCTCCCCCAGTTGCAGGCAGCTCTGCAACAGCTGCCTCCTGAGCCTCCTCTAGCTGTGACCTCTCCAACCCTGATTTGGGTCAGGATCCCCACAGTAACACTGTGAAATTTCAGATCTGAAAATGTTAAACTGACTAATTAAAAAACCCTTTGGCTGTGAAATTGACCAAAATGGACCGTGACTATGATAGGGCCCTAAGCCTTTACCAGAAAATAGATATTCTGATTCCCTCGCTGCTTTTTTTTCTTGAAAAACACTTTCCTCACTTGGGTGTGGAGGGAGAAAGGGTTTAAGTTACTGGAATAAACATTTACCACAGTGTAAAACCACACGCGCGCACGTCAAAGACAGACAAAGTTTCTGCAAACCCAGTCCAGAACTTGGCCTCTTACCCCCCAGAATGTTTAACTATCCTACTTGAATTTCACATTCTTCTTATCACCCTGCAGCTCCAAGCACGGCAAGCCCTTTTGACATTTGTTTTTCCCCAAAAGTGCTTTTGCTTAAGTACTTTCTGCTTGGCTTCTGTTTTGCAATTGTGGACCAGGGCTTTCAAGAGCACTACAACACCCCTTTTATGCTGCACTGGGGGGGCTCTGCGTGTTTGGATTGCTCACTCCAGAGCTGCCCGATTAGAAAACTCACTTCTCTGGAGTAACCAGAGGTCCTGGTAATGGATTGCAAACTGGGCTTTTTGCTCTCTCTCTCTCACACAGCCGGAATCATTGTTTTCCAAGGACAATGTTTCTGTTCTAAAGCCCATTTGTTGGGACAGAGAATGTTCAACACCACACTAAGTGCTTAAGGTTCCTTCATGAGAACTATCAGGCTTTGTAGATACATGACAGACTGCAAAGATGCCACTGTATGGTCTGTCAGATAAATCCTCTGTGCAGAGCTGAAACCAGCATCTCCACCCCATTCAGTCTCTTCTTTCATATCTCATCCCAGCACCATCGCTCAGAAGGAAGCCTGTGTTGCACCTACAACACGGGACTGAAATTCAGAAACCCTGCATGCTATTTCTAGCTGTGCTGCACACGGCCTGTGTGATCATGGCCAAGTCATGTATTTGTTCCATGCCTCAGTTTCCCCTCTCTGTCAAAGGGGATGATAACGCTTTCCTACCTCAGGAGAAAGTTGTGGAAGCCAGCCACACATCTTTGGGAGACACCTAGTACAGTGATAAAAACGGGTGATAAACCAGACTGAATTCCTTGTCCTCAACTTTCCCCTCCACCTCAAATTCTTTCCCTTCCTTCTTCATCACCCCAGAACTTTTCACACCTGCCTCAGGCACACTGGTCCAAAATCTCAGCATCATCTTACCCTTCTCCCCTCTTTCTGTGTTCACACCCGGACTGTGACTGGCTCCTGTCAGTTCTCCTGACCTATCAAGATACTCCAGCTCTTCTTCTGCACCCTTAGCATTAAAACTCTAACTCTGTCCAGCTGGGCATCTCCCATATCCCCTGTGATAACCTCTACTCTCTCACCTTGCCCTGCCCCCCCATCAAACTCAACTCTGGAGGTGCAGAGCCTTGAAGGGGAAGGACAAGCAGGTAAGGGTAAGAACTCTGCCAAAGCCATTTTCCAATCACAGCCCTGCACTCTCAGAAATCATTCACTGGCAGACCAATAAGCCCTCCTCTTTAGGGAGGCTAGCCCCACCCCCCTCACCTAACCCCCGCTCCATGCCAGGAGCCCTCACGCCACCCAGAGGAGCCCAGGCCCACCAACCCCATGCCTCAGGCCAGTGCATCCCCCATTCTGATCCCCAGGGCCACCAGCTGACCTGAGGTGCCTGCCTAATCCCCAGGCCACCGGCTATCCCAAGCTTCAGGTGGCCAGATGGAGCTGAGCCTCCACCAGCTTTAAGGGAGAAGGGGAATGAGGGCAGGGCCTTGGGATGGAGCCTGGATGAGCCCACGGCCTGGGTTAGGGGAGACTTAGCCTCCCCTAGCCTTCCATACCTGTCACCCATGCTGGTGGAGACCCCTTTTTTGCCTTTAAGTCTGTTTGTCCTTATGCTCTAGGCTCCGCACCTCCAGTCATTTAATTTTTTCCTGGTGCCTCTCTGGCTGCCTCCAAAGTGCCCCTTTGCCGCCTCCTGTCACATTCACCTTTTTTAGTTTCCTTTCATGCTCTTCTTCACGCGTGGAGCTTCTTCCCTGGTGCTATGTACCCATCAATCTTCAGATGCCCAGTCCAACCGCTCCTTGCACAACATCTTTCAACCATCATCACCCACTGAACGCCAGTGAGCTCCCTGCTGCTTTCCAATACTGCCACCATCAGGTCACCCGCCTGCTGTGCATCTGGGCAATTATGTTAGTTTACATTAGGCCCCAATCTCACATTCAAATCTACTCACGAGAGTCCCGGCCCTACTGGGGCTCCCAGTAAGCACAGAGGTCCATGCTAAAGAATTCAGCTTGGGAGTGTTAAGGGGGCTTAGACTGTAAACTCTGTGGTTTGGTGTCTGTCTCTTCCCTTGACTATTAAGTTGATCATGGTCAATAAACAATCGATATTAATAATATAATCTAAAAGCATCTATATTTTAAAGTTACAAGGGCACATAGCTCTATCACTCTAGGGCCTTTATATGGTGCCTGTCGCAGCAGGATCTAATAACGTATGATCAGTCTCTTAACGATAAGGACATCACCCTCATCATCTGTGTCCAGTCTCAGGACGATCCCTATTACAGATAGAAAAGTCCTAGTTGTTTGGCATTTTGTCCAGCCTGCTGCCCACGCAGGATGGCTGCCTGTCATGTAACCTCATGTGTTTCTGCATCCTCTTTCTCTTCAAGAAGCAATCTGGGGTCTCGCTAAGAGGGCTCTAGTGCCCCAGTACACATCCTGATGCCCACATCTGCACTTCCACAGGGTTCATAGAGAGAATCTCTGCTCAGGGCAGTTCAAAGAGACTCTGGACTCACGACGAACATTATAAACAGTTAAACACTTAGAGGTCGTTTCCTGTTCTTCTAATTTCTGGGAAGATTCCCACTGAAATAAGAGCTTTTCTACTGGCCAGGTCTCTTCCTCTCCATCTTGGGATGCAATGAGGTCATAGTCTTCGGCTTGTAATGTCCTTAACAAAGACTAGGGCAGGAGACTGAGCAAGATCAAGCTGGAGAGACACTGGCAGAAAGAAGCAGTAACTGCACCATGGGTGACACTGGAACATCTGACAGTGGAACACCACCCAGGAAATTCTATCCAATCCGATCAACTGAGTGGGGTGACTCAGCCCCATGGGGTACACCTAAACCAGTGGTCACCAACCAGTAGATTGGGATCTACTGGTAGCTTTTGAAACCTTTGACAGGTGATTCTGAGAAGTTTGGCCTGGAGACACTGGCACTTCATCTGCCCCTCTCGGCGCTGCCGTGCTGCTCCTGCCTTGGAGGTGCCCCTCACCCCTGGGAGCTTCCTGCTTGCTGTGCAGGGCACAGGAAGAAGAAGGAGGGGGGGCTGATGTAAGGATGCCCCTCCCTCTAGCCTGTACCCCATCTCCACAGAGGAGGCAGGGATGGAGAGAGTTTGCTGGCTGCTTTTGACAGTGGTGCAAGGCCAGGGTAGGCGTGAGCCTGCTTTAACCACCTGCACCACCATCCAGAAGCCACCTGTGGTAAATGGTGCCCAGCTGGAGCCCACATTCCAAACCCCGGGCCCAGTTCTGAACCACTCCTGCACCCCCAAACCCCTGCCCCCTGCCTGATAAAAGTGAGTGAGAATGGGGGAGAGAGGATGGAGTGAGGGAGAAGGGGAGGGAAGGAGGTGGGGCAAGGGTGTTTGGGTTTGAGGTGGATCCTGGATTGCACTTCAATTCAAAAAGTGATCTTGTGCTTAAAAAGGTTAGAGACCCCTGACCTAAACAATCTACAGGAGTGTGTCTCCCAGGCTAGGTCAACAGACACCTCCCCCCAGGCTTTGGAGCCTGGTCACTAGGCTGATCTGCATCTTCCAACACAATTATTTTAAGTGCACACAGGCTGGGAATCTTGCTCTTGCTGGCTGTGTGGGCATGCTAACAGCAGCCTCAGATTCAACACAACGTTGAGCTGTCCAAAGCCAGCAACAGGTGCCATCATTCAACCATGTTAGAATCTCACAATTCTAACAGCTGTCCCCATCCCTATGTCACGTCACTCATGGTTTGATCCAAGGGCCCTGTGATAACTCCCTGGATTCCAAGCAGCAAGTCAATAGTACCCAGTTGGCAGCAATCAGCAGAGTGCTAAGCCTGGCTCCTGCACTGGGGGCTCCTGACTACAGGGTCCCAAATCACAAGGCCCCTGCTTTAATCCTTATCATCTGGCCTACTACAAGAGATATGCAATCCTCAGAGCTGGATTTCAACTCTCCCAGCCTCTCACAAAGTTTGGATCAGTGCAGAGCTAAGGTTTTGATTTGGGCCTTTAATTTCTACCCTTAGAAAATTTCCTGCCAAGTAAATATAAAAACATAAGATTGCCCACACTGGGTCAGGCCAATGGCCCATCTAGCCCAGCATCCAGTCTTCTGACCGTGGCCAATGCCAGGTGCTTCAAAGGGAATGAAGAACATAAGCAATAAAATGTTATATCGCCTCTTGTCCACTCCCTGCTTCTGGCAGTCAGGGGCTTAGGAACAACCAGAGCATGTAGGTTACATCTCTGACCATCAGTGGCTAGTAGCAAGAAGGGCCTATCCTCCAGGAACTTATCTAACTCTGTTTTGAACCCCCATTATAGTTTTGGCCTTCACCACATCCTGTGACAACAAGTTCCACAGGTTAACTTTCTTCTGTTTTGTTTTTTTAAAACCTGCTTCCTGTTAATTTCATCAGGTGACCCCTGGTTCTTGTGTTACTTGAAGGGATAAATAACACTTCCGTAGTCGCTTTTTCCACATCAATAATGGTTTTTTAGACCTCTATCAGATCCCCTCTTAGTCATTTTTTTTAACCTGAACGCTCCCAGTCTGTTCTCTCTCCTCATATGGCCGCAGTTCCAGACTCTTACAGCATATACACAGAAAGTGACAAAAATGATTATCACAATGGTGTGCTGACACACTGGCACCACAACATGCTGACATGACATAATAAGATGCTGTATTGTCCTGTTGCACCATGGCACTGCCGTGCTGTAACACCCCCAAAGTTACTTCTGGGTGTCTCTATGCCTTTTAAGCAGGGCCGGCCCAAGCCATTTGTGTGCCGCCGGCGGGAGTGCGACACATATGCAGCCCCACCCCCAGAAATGTGACGCATGTGCGGCCCCGCCCCCGGGCATGCGCGCGCCTCCCGCCCCTGAGCACCCAGCGCATGCGTGGTGCTGCCTCCACCCAGCCTGGCAGCCCCACATGGCGCCCCCTACAATGGGGCGCCCCGGGTGGTAGCCCGGTCAGTCCAAACCTTGGGCCGGCTCTGCCTTTAAGCCTAGTGTGGGGATGCACTCAACCCCATCAAAATCAGAACTGCCCAGCTCAAACATGAGCCAATTTCAACTTTACTGCTAGGATTCACAGGCCCTAGCTATAATTTCTGTAAATAACAGAAAATACGTAAGGTTCCTACAGTGCAAAGCTGGAGTAACTTCACCAAAGCCACTGATACATTTGTGAAAACAAACTCTATCTCTTAATAAATACCTGGGATATACCAAAAGTTTGCTCATTTCCAGTGGCTATACACTATATAGTAAAAATAAAATCCACACTCTGACTGTGTGATTGCCTCCCTAACGTAACCCAGACACCAAAGTTTGCCTGCAATCACTGTATTTATTGCTGCATATGCATTTACCTTCACTTGTCAGCCTGCTCTCAACAGCGAGCAGCTGAGCAGAACAGACAGTCAGTGCAAACTGCTTGTGTCTTACGCATGGCGTGGCCGTGAACCAAAACAAGGCCTAATGTCAGGCCTGCCAGATCTGGCAATGTTCCAGTGACATAATGATGAAACCTTTCAGCTTTTGTCTCTGCAGGACATAAAACTCCAGCCGCAGTCATCCCAGTGGCTTAAGTTCTAAGTAAGAGACTGATCTGTGCACATTTTTTATCTATATAATTTCGACTGTATAAATTACATGTAGGGCCAAATTCCTGCTTTGTGCATTCAGTTTAGTGGGTTACCCCAGGATGAAATTAAGCTTAGTGTCTATTAGACATTTAAGGCCAAGTTCTGTCTGCAGCAGAGTTTCATCAGAGATGAATTTGGCCCTCAGAATCTGAACACAACACAGTGTACTTACCAAACGCTTTGGCGACATCTCCTGGACAGCTACAACCTCCATCCTGCAACAAGCAAAACAAAATAGAAGTCAGTGAGCAGCAGGGAACTTGCATTCACTGGTGCCCTCAAGGCCAATTTGACACAGCAAACATTTGTACAATTCAAAACCTGTAATAATACAGCAAACCCTTGGGAACCAGCATGGAAAATTCAAATGTAATGATTAACATTAGGTGCCAGTGAAAACGACAGTGTTGTGTGTGCATTTAGGATGCAACAACTTGACAGGATTTTTAGGAACCCAGATTATTCACTGTAGTTCCATTATTTTCTAAAACCTTATTTACTCTGCTGCACATTCTGTTCATGATATTACTTGTAAAAGCAGAAATGCACACTCCCTGTTGCAACTCCCAGATGCATAAAAATTGGAAAAGGAAACCCTCAGTGCTCACGCAGGCCACCTCCTTGCCAATGTGCCTGGCATTGCTACTATTGACCTCTATTATAAACCAACAAGGACATTTTAAATATTTGTTTACTGGACACTGAGGGGTCACAGCAGAAGGCAGTGTGCAAGCAGAAATGTTTTGATTAGACAATCCACAAGTGAGTTAGGTAATCTCTAGTACAGCGTATGATATTCCTCACCATATGCTACAGGCTTTATAAAAGCACAAGCTTAAGGTTTTTTCATCTTAGATGTGAATGTTTCGTTTTCTATGCAATGCGGCAGTGGCAGTGAATGGACTGGTGGTTGGGGAAGAGCCATGTAAGTGTTGGGGAAGGATTTTGGGGCAGCAGTGTATATTAATGTAAATAAGTCTTGATCTTGTAAAATGCTGATCACCTATTGCAAGGTGCTAACTACCCTTAGATCTGTCCTGAGGGAGCACCTTAAAGGATCAGGACCCCCTTCCAAAGTAGGCCTAATAAGTTTCCTGTCTTTGTTTTTGATGTGCAAGCTGCTCCAAAATAGTGGTTTTACCTCATTTCTCCCCCATCTCAAGAAGTTTGTGCTTATTTATGACCTGTGCAGCTAAGCACTGCCAGAAACCCCCTTCTCTGCTGCATCTGAGTACAGATAATGGCAGCAACATTAAGCGTGATAAGCCTTGGGTGTGCACATACGTGTTTCACAGACTTTTCAAAGAAAACTGAGCCAGTGGCCTAAGTTGTTATCAGTGCTTTGATTGCCCAGAGAGAATAGATCCTGCTGATGTTTGGGTTTTTTACTTCATTGCTGATAGCAAGAGACACACTGTGATAAAGGTTAAGACAGCTGAACCTCTTCCTGTCATCTGCTACAAGGGAATGCTTCTGGGCTGTGAGCAGCATTTTTTCACTGATGGGTCCCTTCTGTGGCTTCTGCTCCCTCTTATAACCAGCCACAGCCCAGGGGACAGATCATCTCTGAGGAGCACGGTATGGCATTACCTACATGTTACTGTTTATTTAGAGAATGTGCCGTTAATTTATCAGCAACAGCACTTGGGTTTATAGGCTACACCTGTTCAGTAGCTTTATACTTGCACAGGTGACAGGAGCTTAAAAATTCCCTTAAACATTTAAGCAATAGGGGTCTTAGTGTATAATTATTTATTATTTTATAATTCACTGAGTATGTGCAAAATTTGATTTTTCAAAAACTTATAATAATTTAGACAAATTTTTGCAGCTTTCATGGAGACAACACCCGGCACATGCTGTAATGAATGCCATCCCCCTGTGAAATTATGATTTCCCAATTAAGAGCATGAGGGCAATACCATTTTTCACACAGAAAGGTTGCTGAAATTTTTTTTAACAAGGGCAAAAAATGAGGAAGAACGGCTCTTGCGCAAATGCGATTTAATGCGCAAAAAGGAGCCGTCTACACAGCTCCTTTTTGTGCAAAAACCTCTTGCGCAAAAGGGATCCGAGGAGGAAATGCAAATGAGAGCGCAACCTATGCAAATGAGCACTCCATTTGCATTTCCTCTTGTGGAAGAGGCTCGTAGTTTAGCTGCAGCCTTGGACACATAATATATGCCTTCATCTATAGTAGAAATGCACTTCATTTTCAAGATTGTTCGCTTATTAAGAGTATATGCCTACTTTTCCATGCAGGATAATAGTTCTCTGATCTACAAGAAACAGAAACTTTCTCCCAAGCAAAGCCATGAACTTGTCTGCTGAATAATTACCTTGCTGCAGTTTACTTATGCACTTTCATAGAACCAGTGTACTAATGCAGCAAGGAAAATGAAAAAGGAGACTGGTGCTTTCAGACAAAATAGCAGGGAGACAAAAATAATCCATGGCTTTTTGACAATGGTTCTTTTTTTTTTTTTTTCCCCTCCAATGGATCGTGGGTCTTACAGCCAGAAAAATAGGTGGACCAAACTTCATCCCTGGTGCAATTCATCTGGTAGACAGGGAATGAATTTGGCCCACCATGTAAAAACCGGCACCTTCTCACTCAACATATCTGTCCCCAGTTAGTCAAATCTGCCCACTATAGTCATGTAAACAAGTTTTAACTCCAGTTACCATTGCAATGTGAGAGCTAGCTGGGATCTGTTCTGTTCATATACTGAAACCTCCACTATGATGGGACTTGTCCATTCCACTTTTAAAATATCCTTCTCTTTGTAGGCAAACAATACCACAGCCAGCTGTATTGCTACCTAATCAAGACAAGTACATGGATGAAGAGCAAATGGCTGAAAGTAAACCTGGGTGTGGCAGAAGTAGCACTGGGAGGTGCAGGAAAACCATCCCAAAGGAATAATCACTATCGGATCATGACCCAAAACCAAGGGTGTCTGCCTGCAGATCATGAAGTTGGTATGTAGCTTTGGAATACTGTAACATTCCTCACATATCAGATATCAAAAACAGTCACAACTGCTAACATTGCTTCTTCCACTTATGCTCCACTCAGACAGATGCAGACTTGGCCATGGTGATCCATGTATGTGTCACCTACAGGTTTGATCCTTGTAACACACTGCACCTGGGGCTCTAAACCAGAGCTGTGAAAACCCTCAGGTAGTTCAGAACGTGGCAGACCCCCTACTTAAGCCTCCTGGGTTGATGTACACACATTACCTCAGTTTTCCAGTCACTCCTCACCCTCCCCAGCCCATGCCTGACTGAATGGTGCAGATTAGCTAAGAATTCAGAGAAGAGATCCTCACCCTCAGTCCAGTCACTTTACACTGGGTTCCTAATAGGGCTCCTAACAGGCTCGGGCCCAGCTGGAGGTGGTTCAGATACTCCAGCACACAACCAGAAGGTTATCCTCCAAGGACTGCCCCATACATCACAAGCCCTGGCTTACAAAGCTTGTCAGGGGCAGGCTGCAGAATTTCTAGGCAGTGCTGCTGCCCATATGGTAGCCAAGGGAGACACTCATAACACAAGCTGTCACATTATTGGATTCTAAAGATCACTGTTGCATCCATGGGGTGGTGGGTTTGCCCCAAAAGTCTGTATAAAGGGGGTCATGTGAGATGTTGAATGAAACCATATGTTCTACTAATTCTGTATATGCTATTCATGTACTTGTATAATACCTGTATGTGGCGTTATAAACATGTACTCTGTGTTGATGCTGGAAAATTCTCTGTCTGAGACAGAGCAGTAGGCAAAGAATGCTCAGCCAGTGGCTATGCTAATTAGCAAGGAGACAATGAATCTCTAGGTGCCAATACACACCTGAGGAATGTGACTGATACCTGCAAACCAGCCAGGGCATAATGGCTGCCAGTATGTGAAACTGAGAGAGGTCCTCAACCATGTGACCGGCTCTGGCCAGGAGGATGCCAGGAGAGGTATCTAAGTGCCATGTGGCAACCTCCCTCTTGTCTTCAGTTCAGCTCCTGATCCCAGATGCAGCCTTGTAGGGAACAACGAGCCGGAAAGAACCATGGACCCATCCTGACATAGGATGTACACCAGAGACTTATAAGATAGCAGTTTATAACATCTTTGCTAACAGCCTGCTTTGAGAACTTGGTGATTCGATGCATGTAATGTATTCTCCTTAACAACCTTACTCTCATGCTTTTCTTTCTTTTAGTAATAAACCCTTAGATTTTAGATTCTAAAGGATTGGCCCAGCGAGATCTTCTGGGTAAGATTCAGAGTGTAAATTGACTGGGACCTGTGGCTGGTTTCTCGGGACCGGAAGAACCCGTTCGGGTTAGGTGAGATTGGGTTCGATAACCCCTCACCTGTGTGTTAGGCTGACTGGAGCATAGGAAGAGCTGGGGTGTCAGAGGGGTTTTGCTCATGAGGCTTCTGGCTGACCGGATTGGCAGCTGAAGCGCTCAGTGTGACTGGTTTGTGGCCTATTTGGGATGTCCCAGTCTGGGGCTGTAAGGAGCCCTGAGTTTAAACAATTCGCCCTGAGCAGATGCCCTCAGCTGTGCCCAGACCCAGCCCGGTCCGTCACACAGGTGCCCAGATTAAATTATACTGGAAGCTTCTGTGGACTCTGAAATTGCCCAGGAGCAGGAGTGTACAAAGGTGGCTGAAAGCCATGTTAGAACTCCCTCTGCCAGGGATACTGGTTCTGTGCTGCATCTTGTCTACACCACAAGCTAAGGGTGTGATTCCCAGCTTGTGTAAACATATTTGTGCTAGCTCTCCAAAAAGCACAAGTAGCTGCAGTATCACAGGCAGCAGCGAGGTGACATGGGCTAGCCACCCTGAATAAACAGACCCTGAATAAGGGGGGGTGAATCTGTACTCAGGGTGCATAGCTGTTATCTGTGTGACACTGTCATTTTTAGCACACTGCTAGCGTCAGCATGTCTACTTGATCTGGGAATCACACTGTCTGCTCAAGTGTAGACAGAGATAGAACAAAATCTCCCATCGGTTCCTGATCTTCAAAACTTTCAGAGGGTTTCATCCTATTTTAGAGATGCCTGAGCTTTCCCACAATAAAACAAAGCCTCTCTTGCGGACAGAGGAAAGAGAACTAAAGAGAAGGCCAAAATTTTAAGTAACTGGATTTTGCAAACCAGTCAGATATCATAGTGATGAGTGTGACATATATGCAAATGTGACATTAAACAGATAGCTAAGCAATAGGCCTTCAACACAATTCACAGCTAAATTCAGCCTGTAGACCCTTTATTTCTGGTAATGACACAAGAGTTGGAAAGAACCCAGCTTCAATGTTCCGATCCCAAGCAGAGTGTACAATGCTAGCAGTTGGGGGGAAATTCTTTCTTTCTTTCTTTGCTTAACAGAACATGTTTTAGCTTGAGATCAATGAGCTGGATTAAATATGCAGCCCTACAATCACACAGAAATGCACAGTCAAAATGGGGAGGGGAATTTGAGCCAACCACTGTTCTGACTTACTGTACTTCAATTACTGTAAAGTCCAAGTATTAAAAAAGCCCTATTATAGTGCATCCAAACACTGGATTCTTCCTCGCTATACCTCCAACTGTATCCATTAAAAATCTCTGTGCACTTTGAGCTGCAGGTGTGATTCCTAGCTCAAAGAAACGTACATACTTGCACTAGTTCTCCTCAAGCTAGCATGCTAAAAATAGAGTGTAATCACTGGTGCAAGTGGCAGGAGGCACTAATCACCCCCAAGTATTTCCCCAGCCAAGTTCTTGGGCACACATCCTGGGCAGCTAGCCCTGCCTGCTGCTCACGCTGCTGCAACTACACTGAATGTTTAGCATGCAAGTTTATTGAGAACTAGTGTGGGCATGTCTCCTCAAAGTGGGAATCACACTCCCAGCTCAACATGGAGACATTCCAGGAGGCAAGTGAGCAGTGTTTACATGGTTAGAATGTATTTAAAAACAAACAACCTTGGATCTGGGGCCAAATCAGAACACCTGATCCAAGACTTTAAGGAGTTTGAAATATGGATTTGGATCCAACTGTTGACCCCCCCTCCCCCATCTCTATTTAAAAAAAATATTTAGAATGGTGTGAGTGGAAGAAAAAGATCGTTGCAAATTCGGGGTGGCCCTGTAAGAATCACTGCTTTGATGCCATCTGCTAGATTCACAAGACTTCTTGATAGTGACATTGTCTTTCATATTGTTTTATTCTCTGCTGTGCCATCACCACATTTGTACAACTACATAACTCATAAATTTATGAATAACTTTTATATGATATTTCTACCTGCTCCTGTGAATGCTGTGTAAGTGAGCCACGGACAAGAAAAAAATAGATATGAACATTAACCAGGGATACAAATATAGTTTTAACTAGTACTTGCTTTCTTTGCCCCTCCTTCTGCCTATCCCCAGTCTATTATACATGCAGTTCTAAGAAATGCAAACTATTTCAAGTTAGAACGTTTCAGAGTATCAAGTTACTAGAAAGGGGAAACATTTTCCAGCGCCTCAAGCAATCTGACTCACGTTTTTGGTGGTAATGGCAGCAGCTCGTATTCCACATCATGTGGTTCTGCAGTAACCCCTCCCTAACATTTCCACTTATTGTGGTGGGCTGAGGAACCCATGCAACGCCACTGTTTGAAATTACCTTGTCAGAATATGAGTTCCTAACAGACTGTCTGCCTGTGAATCCCATGTCCTGCTCATTGGTTACAGCCACCCTTTTCTTTCACCCACTCAAAGTAGAGCTGTCAATTGATGTGCGTTAACATCTGCGATTAACACAGGGCAGGATTAACGTGTTAATCGCAGGCATTAATGCTATGCTGCCCTTTTGAAGTGCTGCTTTGGCGCTTCAAAGGGGCAGCGCATTAGGAGCCTGGGATCAGCTGGAGTGCCCAGCTGATCCCCGACTCTGCCTTGCACTGCCCCTTTGAAGTGCTGCTCCAGTGCTTCTAAGGAACAGTGAGGCATGGAGCTGGGGTCAGCTGGGGACTCCAGCTGATCCTGGGCTCCCCCAGTGCTGCCTCTTGGAAACGCCAGGGCAGCGCTGCACCGAGCTGGGGTCAGATGGGGACTCCAGCTAATCCCGGGCTCCGTGCAGCGCTGCTCCTTTGAAATGCAGAGCCCAGGATCAGATGGGGACTCAAGCTGATCCCGGGCTACTGCGGTGCTGCCATGCCGCCGCTGCGTTTCAAAGGGGCAGCACACATGATTAATCGCGATTATATTTTTTTAATCGCTTGACAACTCTAATACAAAGGAATATTCCTTTCTCAGGGACAGCTGTTTGTCTCCAAATCAAAAATGTTAACATGCTTTTAATTCTGTTAATTTATATCCCATTTAATTTATATCCCATATATAATTCTGTATATTTATATCTGTGGACTTTTGTAATTTTCCACTCAAAGGGTGGGGGCTGCAAAGGAAATTTTAAAAAGCACAAATATGAATTAAGCCCAATTCCCACTGAAAGTCGGCAAGAAGAGGGTATCATTTGTATCACTGCAAACCTCTGCTTGATAACTAAGAACTACAAAAGAGAACTGAGTAAATATCACAGGAGGACATTCCTTAGTTT